TTTAAAGGGAAGGATCTTCCTAAATCCCATGCATTTACATGCTTTTTAAAAATATCTTCCTCACACTCATGACTGAAGAATACTTTCCTCATTTCCTGAAGAGTTTTGTTTTTATTATATAGCTGCTTTTCTTTGCCTTGGGCTGTAGCTGTGTTTCCTTGATGGATGAATAACTTTCCGCATGAGTAATTAGCATATCAGTTTGTAAAACATTTTCAGACCCTTTTGGGGAAAAAAAAAAAAAAAGAAGGTATTATTCAAATCTTGGATAACATATGTGTGTGTTATTATACAAATGTTTGATAGTTTTTGTTATATAACGTGTTATGGATGAATAGGTTTTTATCATATAGTTCTGTGACAGCTCCATTTCATCTTTTAATAACATTATAGGAAAAAGCTCAGTAGTATAATTACGTACAAAATCTTTTCTCCTCCCTTCTGATGTGTGAATAAGTCCTCCAGGATTATAAAATCTACTCCTTCAGTACCTGTTAATCAGAATAAGGGTACTGAACAGAGAACAGGCCCCAGAGATCTTCACTTAGAATCACAGAATCACCAAGGTTGGAAAAGACCTCCAACATCATCCAGTCCAACCACCCACTTACCATCAATATTTCCTACTAAACCAAATCCCTCACTACAACATCTACGTTTTTTTAAACACCTCTAGGAACAGTGGCTCTACCACCTCCCTGGGCAGCCAATTCTTTTGCCAATGTTTTAAATGATCTTAGAATTATGGTGGCCAGACACAGCTATTATTTTTAGAACAAAACTTTTTATAATTATCATCATAAAATGCACTTATGTCTTGCTTTTAAAGGAAATACAGTTCTCTATAGAAAATTGCTTTGTGATCATTGTTAGCGTCATAACACTTGTTGCTTTATTTGGTGACTAGAGCTTACAACATTGGTAAGAAGAGATAATTTTAAAGTATAATGGAGCAAGTTAATCAGAATGGCAGCAACTCAAAACCTCTCCTCTGAGTGTAGGAAATGAATGAAATCCCTCCCAGTAGCAGTGAGGATGTGCTGTGGAATCCCAGCTGGCTTTTGGCTGTGGCTTCCAATGAGGTGTAGAGGAAGGTCCTGGAAGAGTCTGCAGCTCTTGTAACACATGGTGACTGTGGAGTTTCAGGCTGTGATTAACAGATGGGTGTATTTGTACACCCCTATTTCTTGTGGAAAGCGTGGTGGTTTATGACTGTGCATTGTTAGGTGACGTGAAGGGATGAAATCATGCCTCCTGTGCTCTTCTGCTCTGAACAATTTCTTCTAACACTCTGGAGTGCTGACTATGCATTTTACTGCTTAATGAGAGGTGTTTTTGGAAATACGCTCCTTTTCCTGTAGAGTTTAGCTGAAATATTTGCAGGTGAGTTTTAATAAGTCCTTTAATTGTCCTGCTGGAATACATTTGCATTTATTTGTATTAATTCAGAGTTTGCACTGATTGTTTTTCTAAAAGAAGACAAGAAGAGAAAAATGGGAGTACAGTTTGTTCACAAAAAAAATAACCTTTCACTGATCCAGTCATTAGAATATAATGTATTTCTGAATGCAGAAAGTGACTGAAATTTTTCCCTCTTGCAGAAATTCACCGGCAGTACTGGTGGTAGGTGGATGCTTAGACTAGATGGTCTTGGAGGTCTTTTCAACCTTAATAATTCCATAATTCTGTGATTTTTAAATTCACTTTGACAACTTCAAGGATTTTTTTAGCCCAGTTGCTGAAGTTCTAAAAGGAACCAGAAATCCATATTCCAAGTATATTCTATTAAGTCTGATTGTAAAAAGCTGCAGAGAAACTCTCAGGCCATGACCTTACAGATTTCAAAAGCCCTGTGCTGCATGCACAGAGGCTGCAGGGAGCATGGCTGGAGCCTTTTCTTCTCAGGCTGAGGGATGCTGAGCAGCACTGCTGATCTACACCTGAGGTGCTTGGCTGAAGCTGAGTAAGGAGCTCTTGATCTCAGCCAGTTGACCTCATGGCAAAAAAGCAGATACTGTGTGTAGGAATAGGTCAATTGAATGTAGAAGATTTAGAAGGCTTTTATTTTTATTGCAGTGCTTATAATTAATGAGCGAGTAGTGTTTACATCTTCATTGAGCTGTACAGATATTGAAGTGTTGAGTGCCACCTAAAATAAGCAGAAAACAAAACTAGCACTTCTACTTTGTCCTGGTTTTGTCCTTGGAAAATCCCCTCCAAGCCTAAAGAAGGGATGAGATCTTCATTGTGCCGTGTGCTCTGCAGGTAAACCTCTTGATAGCCAGGGCTTCATTTACAGCAGACTCTGTATCTGCCTTCAAATCAGATGCTGCATTTCCCAGCATGTCTCCCAAGTTGCGATGGATGTGTGCTCTTTCGTATCCCATACCAAGTTCCCAGGTCACCTTCTGGCGGTCCAAAATCAGCACTTTGCATGACTCTGCTGCATCGATACAATGTGTCATCACATGGTGTAATTTCTAACTGATGAATAAGGCTCTGAAGGGTTCCATATTCACTTTGCGTAGGATGTAAAATACTCGTGCTAAATCCTTGATTTTTGCATCCCGATGTTGCATGTGACAAGTAAGATGGAGAAAGTGGCAAGCAGGCACATAACAATACAGGTGGGAGAAGTACAGGTGGCATTAATTAACACAAGGACTCTGCAAAGAACTTAGCAAGAGCACAGTTCCAGTTCCTTCTGCAGTTGTTTTACCCAATCATTTAGAAGGCATACAAATGCACACAAGAAACTTCCATCAGTGCTATGTGTGGCAGTGGCTTTTGCCCATATGGCATTAGGTTTAGTACCAGGGTCCAGTTTCAAAGATGTTGCTATTACTTTCTGTAAAGCAATTGTTCTTTTAAGCAATCCAGTCAAATGATTTTGAACAACTATACATGAAACCCAATCAAACAGAAGTTGGTGTGGGCACAGCTGAAAACTGGTGGGGGAATTCGTTATCCCCAAAGCACCGCTGCTATGATCTAAAGAACCAGCACACAAAACTAATGACAAAAAGGATGAGTAAATGTTATCAGAGGTATTGATAAAACAAAGATTTTGATTTTAAGAAGTTTTAGAGCCCAGTCTCTTAGCCCCTAGATACTTGTTTCAAATAATTCTGGTTCATTTATGAATGCCCAACAACTGGCACACATGGTCTGTAATGAAACTCTTGCTGCACATCCCAGTCCATTATAGTGATAAAACCTCACAAAGAATGCATTGTGAATTTCCTCTGGATTAATAGAGAAGCTCCAAAACAATGGATCTCATCAAAAACAAGCTGAAATAAGTCTCTATTTGAAATATGCCCATTCAAACCCTAAATCATTAGAGTGCTTTGGCTCTGATAGGCTCAGTAATTAGCTGACTTACAACAAACCTGTGCCATAAACAGCATGAATCAGAACATGCCTGTTTCTAAGACTTATTATTTGTATTACTGTAGCACCTAGAGGCCACAGGCAAAATCTGAGTCTCTGGCTGTTATGCATTGCTCGGAAAGAATGAGATCCTGAGCCCTACAGTACACAGCCAACACAAATGAAGGATTTTAATCAAAGGCTTCTTGAGAGAAATAACACAGAGCAGTGGGTATCGATGTGCAAAAGGTGTTTTCTTGGTTGCCCTTTTTGCTTTTTATGTGCACAGCACAATTATACAAAAAGAAATAGCAGCAGAAGGCAAAAAGGTAAAGGGACAGGGCTCACAGCAGCAAGGGTACAGAGATAAGAAAAGAAAATAATGAATGGTGAGAGAAAGAATAGGGATGTGAAATGGGGAGGTGAGAAGGGGCATGGATGGCTTCAAGAGAAGCTGAGCAGAGGGATGAGAGCCACGCAAGCTGGCACTGGGCTGAGCAATGCTTGTCTGCACTGCAGGTACCTGAAGGTGGGTCCCATGTACTAGGATGTGGGTGGCCCTCAGCATTGAGCTGACAAGGAATTGTGAAGCCAGGAAAAAGAAGTGATTGTCAATTAATTGAGACCATTCTCCTACCGTATCACTCGGACAGACTTTTATCTAGCTGTCAGTGCTGAAGACCCCAAAACTTTGCAGAAGCAATCCATTGTGTGGCAGATGTAGACACTCACTTTAGTTTTATTGAGGTGAAGCTTTCCTCTGCCTCTCAAAGCTGTTCTGGAAGACTATGCTGGAAGCCCTTCTAAATTAGGGTAGATGACATTTACTGCTTTCCTATCCACAGGCATGTTATCCTATTGAAGAAAGAAATTAGATTTGTTTGACACGATCTGCACTTGACAAATTAACGGTGCCTATTAGTTGTTATCTTGCTTTCATTTAAGTGCTTCCAAAGTTAATCTCAGTGTTTTTTTTTTCCTTCAAGAACTTTTACTGGGTCATCAAAAGAAGTGGTGTCTGTTGCTTGGTGGAGGAGTCAGCCCAGTGCTGGGTTATACGGGCACATAGATAAGTCTGTGATTCCTCAGTCCCATGTCACAGAATCACCCGGGGTTGGAAGGGACCTCAAGGATCATGTAGTTCCAACCCCAAATGTCAGCTCCCTGCTCTTACTAGAGGCTGAAACTTACTGGCAGTCTTTGTTACTCCTGCTGCCTGTGCTTACCATCCAGCGAGAGCTGCTCTTTCTTGGGAATTCCATGCAATAATGTTAAAACAGATCAAAAGCTTTCATTCTAATTTGCAGTCTCTTGAGAGCAGGGCTGGCCAAGGCGGTACTGGGCTGCATTTCCACCTTACCGTGTCATTTGTTTCACAGGGCAGTCCTGCCACTGAAACCTCAGGGCTGCCCTCGGCAGGGCCGGTCCCCGCGGGGCAGTGCCGGGGGCAGTTCGGGCATCGCCCCCGCGCCGTCTGTGCCGAATGGTCTCTCCCAGGCCGGCAGGCACCGCTGTGACACCTGCTGGCTGCTCGGCGGCGGGACGAGGCAGCCGGCCCCCGGCGGGTGGAGCGAGGCGGGCGGCAGGGCAAAGGGTGTCCGGCGCGGGGCGCTCGGCCGTGCTGGGGGGCCGTCCCCGAGCAGCAGGGCAGGAGCACGGCTGTGGGGCCGGCACGGGGCTGGGATTTCCGCCCGCGGGAGCGGTGGTTCTGCGCCTCCCGCCCGCCTTCCTCTTTTATATTTTTCCTCCTCCTCCTCTGCCGCCGCGCCACTTCCAGGGGAGGTTGGTGTCATGTGGCTGGCGCCGAGGGAGGGCTGCCCGGGGCCGCAGCGACAGTGAGAGGCGGTGAGAGCAGCCCAAGCGAGCGGAGCTTAGTATTCTGCGATGACAGCCATGAAGGAGCAGCCGGCGCACCCGGGCGGCAGGGGGAACCCGCCGCCGCCGTCGCAGCCCGACCAGGTGGGAGCCGCGGTGCCGAGGGGCTGGGGAGGGGGCGGCCGCCGTCCCGGTGAAGTTGTGCGGAGATGAGCACGAAGTGCGGGGGGTGCGAGCATCCTCGGGTCGGCTTGGCCGGGGGATGCGAGAGCCCCGCGGAGCCCAGTCGGTGGGCAGAGGGCGGCTCACGGGTATTCAACCGTCCGGGGTCCACAGCGAGGAGGGATGCTCAGCATCTCTGGCCGGGGCGGGGAGCGGCCCCGCTCGGCTGGGGGTGTGAGGCTTCCCGGAGGGTTCGCCCCCATCTCGGCGCGGGGAGCGATGCCGTCCGACGTCCCAGCGCCTCTCGGTGCCGGGCTGCATTGGAATGCCCGCTTGTCGGTCGGGGTAGAGAACAGGGCAAAAGCTGAACTCAGCTTTGAGCACCGCAGAATCGAAGTTTCCATTCTCGGTCCGCGGGAGCCGTTGCTCCATCCCAGCCACTTCCCGAGCGGTCCCGGGGCCGCGGCCGCTCGCTGCCGCTGCTGCAGAGGCGGTGCCGGCGTTGCCCCGCGGCAGTTGCAGGGATCCACAGAGCTCATACATTTCAGGAACTCTGTTTTGCTTTAGAGGGTCTCTGCTTGCAGATAGAATAAAAAGTGCTTAAACTTAACCAATCTTCATATTCGATTCAGAGACGCTGGATTGCCTGAATAGCTTTTTGCTGTTGGAGGTAGATATCTTTTCAGAGCAGCCTTCATGTTATATACTGAGAATCAGTGGTTTGACTAGTCTTTCAGGTGATAACGAGGAACAGGAGTAAGTTCTCGATTTAAATCACTGCAGATGTGAAAACTGTGTCCTAAATATAGAAACGTAATTACTGGAGCACTGTGGAGCTCTCTCCTCTCTCATAGTGGGTGCAGGGACTGCTGTGCTGCAGGGAGCGTGAGGACCAGGTCCTGTGCGGTTATTTGTGTTGCATTTCTCCATACCAAGGTTGGCTTTACTGGTAAAAGTTGACATTGAATCAGTGTTGATCATCTGTTGCCATAGATGCCAGGCCTGTAGATAATGACATTGCTTACAGAATTTGGCTTTCAATGAGTGGGAATCTTTCTTTAGGCTTAAATGATCACAATAGGGATGTGGGCCAAAGTCCTTCCAGGAGCTCTATGCAGATTGAGGCTGCTGTTGGATCTCCTCAAACACTCCGTTCCTATGCAGCCACGATCCAGGCAGCCATATCTGAGCTCCCTCCACGGCCAGGATGTGGGCAGTGCTATGCCAGATCTACGTTAGAAATGCTTCTTAGCACAGCAGATTTGGGCTGTAGCCTTAGCAGAGGGATATTATGAGTTACAAGCTTTGTTGGCTTTCTGTGATTGCTGTTAGAGAATGTGAGCCTTTGGTGGAAGAGCAGCTCGTATTCCCACTGTCCACATCTCGTGGCACTGTTGCTGGCAGGTCTGTCAGGAAGATGTACCCTTCTTAGGCCTTCAGGATATCCATCTCTGTCAGGGACCTCAATGTTTCATTTTGCTTGGTGAGCAGGTGTAAGGTTGTGTCAGTACAGATGACAGCTGTAGCTTCTTTATTTTTAATGATAAGCCTCATCTGCACAGAGGAAGCTTCTGTGACTGCAGGAGCAGCAAAGCTCTTTTGGTAGAGAAGTGGTTGGACCTGTGGAAAGGCCTATGAAGGAGCAAGGAATTACATCGAGATTTTCTAAGCATAGATCTCTTTTCTGATTTCCAAGTGCAGTTTATGAATACTCCTGAGAACAGTCTTTCTGAAGCTGATACATTGTGGTTAATTTATAGGCTCGGAACCTGAGCTGCAATGTGAAATTACAGCAGGCTAATGCTGTGACTTTCCACTTAAATAAAAGCTTGGATCGACTGACTGAAGCATCCACAGCCATTAGCTTATAAATAAATTGGATACAACTTAATATCCAACGCTTGCTTTGATGGTAGTATTAAAGCAGCCCTCCCCTGGGCCAAGGCATCTAATAACAACTTCCATTAACAGTGCTATCAATGTTTCAGCAATTCATTTGATAAATCTACCAGATGTATTTGTAGCTTTTTGCTAAATAATGACTCCTATTTATTGCTGAAATTACAGTTTTATATTCTGATGATGTATCAGTAGAAGGGAAAACAGCTGTAAATCACTTGTATTCCTCCTCATTTCTGGAAACTCTATCAAAGGACTCAGGCTTGTGTCAGAAGTAAACATGGCTTCCTCCATACATCAGTACAAAAAATAGAATTTTCCATCTTGCAGCTTTTAGGAACTGTCCCAGGGTCATAGACAATGATGTTTAGTGATCAATTTTAGAACGCACAACCTTTCAGTAGTCAGTAGACACAACATACTTGAAAAATATAGTGTACCTGTATGGCTTGCTGGTTGATGAATGTTGCTGTCTCTGCAGATGAAAAACTAGGATAATTCCTCTAGGTGTTACTTCTGTGAGACTTCAGTCTCTTTACAAAAAAACAAAAAAAAAAAAACCAAAAAAAAAAAAAAAAACACCAAAAACAGATGATCTACACCACCTGGTGCTGCTGGATGTTCTTTGTGTGTACAGAAGACAGACCTTATAAATTTATGACCATCCTCTCTTGAGCCTTTCTTACTCTCCCAACTTAAGGACTTTTAAAAATTGATTTTAAAATACAAGAAAAATCCCCCAAACAAACAGGTTATTTCTTTACTGTTTGTCACTTATAAGCAACTTCATTCTTGTTCTTCAAAATAGGTGAGCAGAAGTGAAATCAGACTGTACTGCATTGCATTAAATAAGGGAATTCTTTAGTAAGTATTTCAGTTATGTACATATACAGGCACAACTGACTTCTGTTTGCTCCAATAGAACTATGAGTATTTTGATTAATAAGTTGAATTGTCTCTGTGTCAAGACCAGTTTCTGTGGTCACCGTGCAAAGATCATATTCTGAAAGTGTGTCTGAACAAAAGAGAACAATCTGTGCTTTATTTTTCAGTGCCAAGGCTAAAGTGGTTTATACTGCTATGTCTTCCTTCACTACATCACTTCTTTTCCCCAAATTTAGACTCTTATCTTGCAGTGGGAAAAATGCTGATGGATAGTTGTGTCTGTCTGGAGCAGTATTCATCTTAATGAGGTTTATTGAGGTGATGGGTTTTTCCCCTGCCCCACTCAGGTTATTTTGAGCTCCGTGGGTCAAGGAAAAGCTTGAACTCTTAATCATATACTTGCAACAGCTCCAGTAATTTGAAAGATTTTGTTGGGTAGTCATCTCTTTGTCCTCCACTCTTGATTGTGTTTAGAGTTGGTTTCAAGCTGAGATAAGAATCTTTGTTCTAGTACATAACCCAGAGTGACTTCACATTTTTCCTTCTTACCTACCTAGCAGAGTCTTGTTATATTGTGGCAATATACCAAACAGTGCTGTGCAGGGTTCAACATAATGTCAGAAGCATCAGGTAGAAAAAAACAATAAAGTAGAGAAAAAAGGTTGTATTATTATGCCTAGAATGTTTTGTAAGGAGTTAAAATCTAAATCTTATCTTTAACATTTACATTCTATTTCTTACACTATATATATGCCATACTATTTCTGTACTGGATACAGAAGCATTACAGGAAGAAGTGTTACAGATTTGTAAGATCTGTTGGGTTTATGATCAGGAGCACAAGAAGCTGATGTGAAAATATGTTAGTAGCAGTGGTTTGGAATACCATTCAGGATTCACGTTCCAGGGGAGGGCAAGGAACAAGCACACTTTCAATAGCACATGTAGCCTTGATTTGCTTTCTCTTTTCCATGTGGCTGTTGAAGTGTAGTTCTGTCATGTGCTTGATTGATGTGATCAGGACTAGAAAAAACTGAATCTCATCTTAAATCTTCATTGCATTTCTGATCTTCTAAACTGATCTCTGTGGAGAAGGGCTGAGTAGGATCTCAATTCTAGTGAAGTGCTTCTTGTGTTAATTGAAAAACATCACTTCATGTGATATCTTATAAACAGTCTGCTTGTGGTGTAGGATCTTGGGTAGCTTGAATGAGCAATGAGAGGATATTTTTTAGGTGGCAGTATAGCACATAAATGTGTTTTCTGTAGAGATCTCAAATTCAGAAGTGTCTCTTCAGAAACTTTCCAAATGCAAAGAGCTTTTCAAAGAGCTTCCAGTGCTTGATCCTGTCCTGGGAACTGGGAGCACCACTGTGGAGAGGTCTTCTGTGAGGGACCCAGAACAGGGTGATATGTGAGCTCTTACGTCTTGCACTCTCTTCCCATGGTTCCATGCCTTTATGCAGGTTTTCCGTGTCTTGCTTTCAAAACAGCACACAGGAGCCGTGTAGTGCAGCACAGCACCTGGTTTTTCGGCATTTGGAGCTCTCTGCTGTGTGGGTGTGTTGGAAGGATTACTGCAGTAATGCAAAACCTGGGAAATAGGGCAGCCTTTCTGGTTGTTCAGTGTTGAAGTGAGCTGCAGGTACACTATACACTACTTAGCAGTCTCACATATTTGAGTATACATACTGTACATATTGTGTTATTTTCAAACCCACTTCCTGTGTTTCTTTCCAGTTTCTTCCATGTGAATATATTGCTTCAGGCAACCAATTTTGATAACTAACAAGGCAGAGGAACTCTTTAAGCCCACTGAGATGATGTTTGATGTTATTCTAGCATTTGAAAGCCATCACCTTAGCATTTTTTAGTAACTTGAAGGCATTTGGAGATTACACACATACATTACTGACTCACAAACATGAACACAGGCTTTCTTTCCATGGTGGTAATAAGGATAAATGTGACTTGTGATTCCTATAGAAGTAACTTAGCTTTTGTTGTTCTTGTTTTAAACAAATAGAGCTTTGAAATATGCTTCACTAGAGAAAAACTTCTAGGTGTGCAGGACCATACTTCACATTATCTTTTCTTTAATGTGATATTGGAAGTCACTGGAAAGTCATCTGCTACTGCGAATCTCCTGCCAGTTGGTGGCTGCAATTTGTTGATGCTATGTTCATAACTGTTAGAAG